TTCTATTTGTGGTTTTCTATTTTTGGCACATGGCCCAGAATCGGCCTGATTTGAGGCCACAGGTAGCTGTGTGAAGAATGTAGTCCGGGGTTAGAGATATTGCATGTCAGAAAAGATAAAACTCAACTCAATGCCTCAATACTGCTGGTAGATGTACTCATTAAAGGCTATTTTACATATATATTAGGTGCACTGCTTCATATGCAAAATATAAATTCCAAATACCTATTTGGAAGAGATGCATATGCATCAAAAGCCTGTAAAACTTTTTAGGTGAAGGCAAACTCTGGAGTCCAATACGAAAATGGCCCTTCAACTTCTAGAACAGTGTTTCTCAACCTTGACAATTTTAAGGCATGTGGACTTCAACTCCCAGAATTCCACAGCCAGCAATGCTTAAAATTGTCAAGGTTGAGAAACACTGTTCTAGAACATAAGCACTAGTTTAGCAATTTCTCTTTCTCTTTCTGTCTCTCTCTTTCTGTCTCTGTGTGTCTCTCTCTCACACACAAATACACACACACACACATTATATTATCATCATACAGCTATTCAACCTTCATTTTCTGCTAGTGAAATACACTGAATTAGACGAATACTTGGATGAGCAAAGTCCGGAGCTACTTACAGAACTTGGCCATTGGACTGTCGAAAAACAATGAGGCCAAAGGGATCAGCAGAGAACTGCACAGAATAGAGAGTTGAGGATTCCTTATTGGTGGCCTTGGGGGTTTCTAAAGGAACTTCATAGCGTTTTCTAGCTGGATTCTTAAGCTGTGGTGGAAGAGACAGAACAACAAACATTGTGTGATGCTACTCCAAAAATTGGTCAGAAAAATTCAGTCAAGCTTCAAAGGGACTTGGCTTCTACTTCAGAATCGTTTGTGAGGTGGAAGAAAGGAGGTCGGTGTGAAGTTTGAAGTTACAATGAAATCCAGCTTTTTGGTTCAAGGGGGCTTTTTATTGTCTGATTAACTGATTTCCCACCTTTCAATTGATCTAATATGACATTTGATATTCCTGCACCCCGTTATTTCTAAAACAGACATCTATAAGCAGAGCCAATTTTAAACAGTATAAAATAAATTCAAGGCTGCACTCTTGTATGATTTTGCTTGGAAATAAGCATTAATCACTTCTAAGCTTGTAGCATTTCATTTCGTTTATAATTTGTTTTTAGATTTCTGAAAATATATACATAATAATTTAGATATGTATATCATACATACCTACAATATCTACATGTATTTGAAGTATTATCATACGCAGGATGTATTTTGGTCGCAGAGAAAAGGGATTACTTATGTAGCCCCTACTCCAGCTACTAGAAATGTATCTAAGAGTCACAAATAACAAAGCCACGCTACGCATTATCGTGATTTATTGAATAAACCACAATTAGCTGGATTTACACATATTGTCATTGGCTCAATATCAGCAAAGCAATACCGAAAACTTCAGTTCTTTGCTGCCATCTAGTGATAGCCTAGGCTAGGTAGAGCAATCCTAACTAGACCATAATTATTCTTCATGCAGTATAGTGATTAAGTTTATACAAACTAGTAAAAGCCAAATAAACCACACTTAACCTGATGCTTGTACCCAGCCACGTATTCACTTCTTTAGCTTCTGAAATTATTTTTTAAACGCTAATATTCTTAAGAAAATGAATTCTGGTTCTGGCAATCACATTCTAATCTTTCACAATTCCACAGAATTGCCATAGTCACATAGCCTGGCAATAACCCTCTCTATTTAACTGAAAAGAGATTTATCCTAGGATTAGAGCAGGAACAAACAAAATTTGAGGATCAAGGGCTATAATCCTGATGTTACTAAGAGATGGGTTAGGGACAAAGAACTTGTAAAAAAAAATCTAGAACCTTGCTTTTATATACTATATGCAGATAGCAGCAAGAATGCTTTATGCACAAAAATTAGGGAGCTGGGGAGTTACAAAGATATTCCATGTTTGGTTAATGTCAGAGTGCCTTGGACTTCCTTTTTTAAAAACAAAACAAAACAAAACAATAGTCCCTACTCACCGTGAAGTGAAGCCTCCCCTTGGTCTCAAAGACCACATCCAGCTGCACATTCAGGATGTCATCTGGCATGAAAGAAGGTGCACTGCGGATCAAGTGGGCAGTGTAGCCAGTCTTGGTGGCAGTTAGGTTTGTCATCTTGTAACTAGAGTAATTGGTAGGAAAGAAGCACCAGGGCTGCCAACCAGCAGAGCCTTTGGAAGAGACAGGGACGTAACAACATCCCCGAGCTTGACATTCATCTTGAGAGAGAAGCTTCTCTGGGGCACAGTCAAAGCGGCTGTCTGGAGGGATGTTGCATTGCTTAGACATCGACAGGGGTTCCAACTGTTGTTTTAGTTTCTGTTGTGGTACCTCTGAAATCCTGCCATGATTCTTACCCCAGTGATCATTCTCTCTTTTAGAAGCAGCTATGGCTGCCTCTGAGGTCCTAGATAGTCCAAGCAGAGTGATCACAAATGCTAGAGTTGAAATCACCAGCATTGTGTGCTTCTTCCACCACAACCTCTGTCAGGCATTGAATCACCATGGAGAAAGGCAGGAGTTTGCTCCTCAGCAAGTATAGGACAGTCAGTCTCCAGCTGCAGAGGAGATACAATCAGACACAAACTATGAATTCCTGGCTTGTGCTGCGTTCTCCAGGCTGACTATTCTTAAGAACCTATCCCTTGTATTCAAGTGGGGAAGTCCCTGATGAATGTCTGTCAGGCCTAGAGAATCTAAAAGTTATTCCTTTGTATTCAATATTGATTCCAATCAAAACATTGATACCCCACTGTTGTGGCTCAAAAAGCAACAGGTCTATTGAGCATTTTTCCTTCTATGTATATCAATCCTGTAGAGCTGCATGTGCTGATTTCCTGCAGGAACAAATTTCCTGTGTCAGGAAATCTTAAAACAGTCTTGAAAGCACTTTGAGCAGAGAAACCAAGAAGACAGGCATTTCCCTATAGGCAAGACAGACTCCATGTTGCTTATAGAGATATTATCATGTTGACTCTGGATACAATCTATTATTTCAATTGTGATTATTATACAATAATAATTGGAGATGATTAACATTTTATTATTTAGAAACCAGTGATGAGAATACAAAAAATGTTCTATCAATATTAATTACAATTGAGGATGCTAGGTCTCAACTGGCTCCCTGGTTCTCCGGGGAGCTGAGAGAGATGAAACGCCGGAAAAGACGCCTAGAGAGATGTTGGAGGGCCAGCCGAACCGAATCCGCGCGAACACAGGTAAGGATACATGTTAGATCCTACCTAGTGGCGATGAGAGTGGCTAGGACTAACTACTATTCCTCACTCATCGCGTCATCAGATAGTNTGCCATAAGCTATTTATAAAACGAATAAAGGCAGGATATTAAATCAATAAATAATAAACAAACAAACATTGTGAAAATGTGGTCACTGTAAGAGGAGAGCAATATTATTCTGCAGTAACTAACAATCAGGAACCTGGTAGCATTTTTTCAAACTGATAAATGTTATTAAAACATATAATTAAGCCTTTGTGAGCTACAGCCGACTTCCTCAACTGCATCCGACGAAAGCTTCGGCCATTACATTTGTTAGTCTGAATAAGTGCTACTAGATTCCTTCGAATTAGTGTGAAAATGTACAGGTTTTTTTTTCCTACTCGTTGACCCTAGCCAAAGTAAATCCCACAGCAATTCTATCGCCCCGCCCCATTCACAATTACCATTATCAGGATTTTGGCCAGGCCACACACACACACACCCCCGAAATATTCACTTACGCGAAGACACAGAAGCTTCTGCAATCAGCCCAACCCGAAAGAAACGAATAGAGTGAAGTTTTTTCAACAGATCACGTGAATAGCGGCTCACGTGACTAAAATTTTCTCCTTTCTCCTACGAGGACGATCTCACCAAACGGGCTCGTCGAATGAGTTGGATGTCCCTGCAAAAAATCCAGGCATCCGCCAGATGCCAGCAAAGGGTTAGGATTTTATTTTCTTTCGCTGCCATCCGGCTTTTTCTCGTTGTCGTCCGGATTTTTTGCAGCCCGGAGATGGCAGGCCCACAGAAAAGGGCTTCGGTTGGAAGGGGTTTCTCTATTAACGAGTCCTTTAAATGAGGCGACAACACACAATGGTGCGCCGTGGAAGAGCTTCCCCGGTGCAAACATTTATGATGGGTGTACCTTTTCTAGAGAAAGTAGGACAAATCTGCAAAATGTTTGGACGAGTTGCACTCCGTCTCTTTTCACACATTATCACCCTGTTAACAAACAAACCCCCCCCCGCGCACCTGTTTCCAAATATTGTGTTTCTTTTAGAGATTACGGGTTTTTTTGGTGATAATAATGAAAACGTTCATTCTACTCCCATTTACTTGCAAACGCAGGTCTGCTTTTTTAAATTGCTTATTAAAGAAATGCCATGACCATTCTTGGGATTCAATTCGGTAGAATTTGGAGGCGGATAATTAAATGTTGTCAACTTTTAGCCCTTGCTATTTCTATGTACACTCGCTACTTTTTATTAGTTACTGTTCTAAACTGAAGACAGAAGGCAAGTGTACTATTGGATGGCTTTGCATAATTTATTAAGACTGTTTCATAGAACACTTGTATTTTGGAATATAGGAGATGGAAAATACACACCTATTAAAATTGGTTATATGTAAAATAAAATATGGCTTTGGCTTAAAATTGTATGAGTTTAGCCCTCCCTGAGATTCACTCAGATCATTGAATTATTATGAATGGACTTAATTAAAATTGCTCCTGGAATTTGATTTATTGATAAAATAACAATGAAGCTTGGGACATACAAGAGATTTAAAATCAAAATGGGGCCATTGTTTTAAACATTTCAAAGAAGATATATAAACTTAAAAGAACAAGAAAAGGGGATAAAAGAGTAAAATTTAAGTGAATAAATGCAGGATTTTAGTATGTTATGAACATTACGATTCTCCAGTATGTTGTTAATTTTGAGTAGCTATATTGTAAAAGATTTAAACTTGCTGTTAAGATAAACATGATTGTCAAGAATCACAATCAACAATATAATTCACCAAATAAGATTATAAACTACAGTAAATTTAATCCAATTTACTAAAATTATAAAATCCATAAGTAAAGTACTTTGAGTATGGTACATATTGTATTAAGTTGTAATCTAAGAAAAGCTTGAACTGAATTCTGTGTCAAATTTACTTTTAAAATAACAAGTTTATTCCAGACATTGACGCATACTTCCGGAATTTAGTTCATCATTCTTTCACCGTTATAGCAGTTAGCATATACAAAGCTAATTCAATATATTTTGAAGAAAGAGATGTACAGTATGTTTAGGAAGGTTTAACAAAAATATTGTAGGTTGAAAAAGGAATGTCAACTTTTAAGAATTGTTTCATTCTACTATGAATCATTTCCAAAACTTAGGAGTTTTACAATATTATCACCAAATATGAAAGTATGATTTCATTTGGTCATTAAATTTCCAACATTTTAGAGAACGATATGTCCTTTTTAGCAATGACGGCTGGAGTAATATACTGACAGTAAATATACCATGTTATTCCATAATACATGGAAGAAATTCAATGTTTTTCCATTAAAATGTTCTTTGTTGCAGATCTGTAACTGCATTCAAATTCTGTAGCTATTTAAGAATGTAGTCCTGCAAATTGGAATATGTTCTTAGATCAATCAAGCTTTTTCATTGTGCTGTAATTTTGCATCATGTTCAAAGTATAGGGTTTAAAGACTATGCCTAAGGATGATTTTGAAATAAAAAGTCTATAATTGAAAAAGCTTGGCTGAGATGAGCCCGTTCTACAACTTTCTCTAAAATAATAGGAAGCTACATTTTAAAATTGCTGCAGCCATTTTTTTAATGATTTTGCAGAACTAATATGTACAAAAAAACTGATAGAAAAGTGTTTGGTTTTCGACATGAGAAATATAAAAATGTTGGGATGGTTTATATAAAAGAAATGTTTTCTCTGGTTTGTCTTTTTTTCTTTTTTTACTCTTTTTTTTAAGATATGAGAAATTGTAAAAATGTGACTTAAATACTTAAGTGTAATTAATTTTAAGAAAAACTTAACCAGTAAGAATGTTTTGAATATTGTGGGGAAAACAAATTTAAATAAGAATGTAAACAGGAATTATGATGAGACAATCAAGATGATCCGTGAAAAGAAGCTTTATATTGATGTGGTTATTATTTGCAGAAACGTGAGAAAAATGTTTACATTTAATTGTCATTTATTTAAATAAGAGCTGTATTAATTTAAGGTTGGCAAAAGAGACTATTATTGGAAGAAGAGGAAATCAAGTAAAGCTATTCTAAGGACTATAGAATTATAGAAATTAATCGTGATTGACTGTTTTTTAAACACTAACCCAGACAACATGATGTTTACCAAATATTAAGCTGTATGTTAAAAATCAATAAAACATATTTTTTAAAAAACCAAAACCTGATAGACTACAGGTAGTCCTTGACTTCCAAATTCAGTTGTGATCAGATTTGTGGTTGTTGAGCAAAATTGTCACTTTGCTCAAGGACCACAATCCTGGCTCTCCCAGTTGTGGTTGTTGAGCAAAGAATGGAACCTCCATAGGAAGCTGTGCCTTGGATCTGCTTGGGTGTGCCTGTCAGCAGCTGCAGAACAATGCAAAGATAAGTGAACCCAGGTGTGGGTTGGAGTAGGTCAAGGCCTCCAGGGCCATGATAGCTTTGCACAGGCTGGGTGAACAGCTGAGATAGGGGGAAGAGAGAGGCAGGTACAGGAAGTTTTCATCTATATTGAGTTTTTATACAGTATTCCTCCACTTCCTTGGGGATCAAGTACAACCAGCTCCAATCAGTGGCAAGGAACTATGAAGATGAAATTGTAACAGCATCAGATTGCCTATCTTTGGGTATAATATAGCAGGTACAGCTGTATCTGCCAAATTCTTTGTTAACGAGTAAAATGAAAAAAAGTCACTTTAGGGCAGAGTTCCCCAACCTTTCCAGCATTACGGACTGGCGCGGGAGGAGAGGGGATGGTTCTGCACGAGCAGCAAGTGTGCAGCCACACATGAAGCTTCATTTGTGAGCAACGGTTAAGTGTGCGCACAGCTGCATTTGCATGAGCGGCAGTTAAGCATGTGTGCGTGCAACTGCATTTGAGCGAGCAGCAGGCAAGTGCATGCACAGCTCCATTTGTGAGTGGCAGGCAAAAGTGCGCCCATTGCTCACACAAATGGAACGCATCTCCACATGCTCAGCTGCTGCTCATGCAAGTGGGGATGCGCACACGCTCACCCATCGCTTCCATGGCCTGGTTCTGAACAGTTCACTGCCCAGTAGTGGGCCATGGACCAGGGTTGTGGACCCCTGCCTTAAGGTTCCATCTATGGTTTTATACAGAGCATTAAGCTATGATCTGTTCTTTTCCTTTGGATAAGTATGTATCTACTCATTGTGATTTAGTATTATGTGTAAATATGCCATTATGGCCTGTTCAACATATTTAAATTACATGTGAATCCAAGTATCAGTCTTAATGCAGCTTAGTCACCTTAGGGCAAAACTACGGTATATAAAATATAGTTTTGACCTGGGGGTGGAATTATCTCCAATGAAATCTCTCAAAGTTTATCTGCAAACAGGGATACATCATCATGCACATCTAATTTACAGCTACCTTCTTCTCAGTTGATCCCTGCACTTTAAATGAAAATGGGAGAATTTTCATCATATTGAGGTTTAATATTCCCCCCATCCTCCAGTATCATGAGGGATGAACAACTTTGCCCAGAAAAAGAAAATCTTATCCCCTGTTGACTGCTGATTGGAAATTTTTCTTCATGTGGTGTTGAGAAAGTGAACTTTCCTTAAATGAGCTTTTATCTTGTCAACTGCTGATCAGAGGAGCTGTCTTAGCATTGTCTAGGAAGCAGGGGCTGAGGAAAGGAGGAAGACGTTAGGAGAACAATCAAATGGAAAGCTTTGCAGTTACATTTCGCCATAATGTTCTCTCGTGGAATCTGAATGTTTTTCAGAAGAGTTCTTTATTCTATGGAAAATGTCAACATTCCTTCCAACAAATAAGAATTGAAAGTTTGCTGAATTCCTAGATTAACAGAACTAAACAAGAAAATAAGAATCTAACTTGTCTTTTTATTTAGGACAGAAAAACAGTGCAATGGAAAAAGCAAACTTTGAATATAAAACTGACTCACTTTTTTTTAAACCCACAACTACCCTGTCCATCCCCCATCTTTCTCTTTCCTATATACCATCCACTGACAAGCTGTCAGGAAATAACATTCCAGTTATTCTCACACTGATATTTTGAAAATGTCCAGCTCTATTTTTCTTCAGCTTGATCCTGGGCACTCAGTTCTTCCAGTTTCTGAGTTATTACTTGGGTAATTCTGTGCAATGTCTTGTGATAATGAGGATACTCGTGGTCAATCTGATGGAGAAGGGTGTTAAGAGTTTGCAGTCTCTCCTCCACTTTATGATGTTCAACACGGGCCATTATCTCAGAACGACATAGTAGGCTGTACTTCCCTTCCTTCACGGTCTGCATGTGCTTCACGCGTGTCTGATTGGACACAATATCTGAAAGGTTCTTAGAAAAGCAACATTGAATTTGTTATTAGAGACAAAAGGCTGCAGGCAAGGCAGGAAGGAATAAATCCTCTCTGATGCATCTTGAGACTGAATCAACCGATGAGCAAAAATCTAGATAGCCTGGGTTTAATACAAGATTAAACTTTTTTTTTTTTAGTAGACAGGGTCCCAGAAGAAAAATTGCATTATGAGAACTGTCA